TGATCCCTCTTCCTGTTGTGACCTCTTGATTCAGTTTTTTTCTCTTTCTACTGTTCCCTCTTTGTTAAAATTTATTCACCATTCTCTTGATGGTTCTTGAATGGTCTTTGAAGATGGGAGTGAGATTATTAATGTTGGTATCATCACTGAAGACCTGAATAATCTTTTTCTCTCACCATTGCTCATTTGGAAAGACAGTGGAGCTGACAAAAAACAATTTTAACCTGTTCTTTTTCTAGCTGAATAATTCAGATAGTTTTTCTCTGATTCTTACGTTAAATGGTGTCAGCATGTTTAAAAAAAGAAACTCAAGTAGTTTAGTAGTTTTTTTTTTAGATATTAAACATTTTGTGCGATGCCCACTTATCTCATACTGTTACACCATTTGAATAATTTTGTTGTTACACGTGCTATATATATATATATATATTATTATTATTATTATTATTATTAACACCTTACGCCCCTTTTTCTTTAAACAATTGCTCTAGCCGTTACTATAGAAATTTTGATTTTAATAATGAACATGCTTATAAAACACGTAAATGTCAGAAATAAGTTATTCCCCCCCCAAAAAAAAATCGCTTGAAGATGGAACAGAGCTCAGTACTTTAATTCAATCTAATTCAACTAATTATATTGAAGTTTTCGGCTCTTGTTTTGAAACATGAGAACTCTTATGTAGCGTGTTGAAATCATATTTTTAAATAAATAATACGACAGACAAGGTGCTTTTATTTATTTTTTTATGCAACTTCTCATGCGATCTAATAATCTTTTTTTTCCGATGATAAATTATATAAAAAACCGTTCGAATGTTCTTTTTATCCGAGCGCTTTCGGCTATACATTTAGCTATTTTCTAGGATTTTAACTGTTAAATAAGAAATATTTTCTTGTATGTATGTTTTATAAAATGTTTTACTTTTTATAAAACACGGTCAAAATATTGTGTCCATGTTCAAAGTTAATATTATTAAGTGTTGTTTTTTTTTGTTTTTATTAATAAGGCTTCCATTATTTTTACCCTTTTTTGCATGTAGATGATACTATTATATTAGTGTTGTCCACAAGTATGTTACGAATAGTGTCCGTTAGGTCTCCATGAATATTTAAATGAGATCTAATTGGTCAGAAATGTGTAGAGTGAGTCTGCGTGTCAAACATGTTGTAGTGTGGCCTATATAATTATTTACGAATTTTGATTGATCAGGAATACAATTCCTTAATGGGCATTTAAATTCGTAAATAATATTTGCCCTATTTAATTTTGTTCTAAGAGGTGAGTTATTTTTAACTATAAGGTTAGAGGTTTTAAAACCTCTAAGCTTATAGTTAAAAATAATAATTCTTTAGCATTTATTTTTTTAAAAAGTGCTCGTTACAATGTAGAGCATAATATTTTAATAATATTTTTATTTCAAAAATATTTTACATCACGACACGGAAATGTTTCGGAATTTTAAATTTGTTCCATTATCAAGCGATGTTGGGTAAGTTTTAAAAAAGTTACCCAACATTGCTTTATATATACTTTATGTATGTGTCTAGAGTTATTGGAATGTTTTATTTATTTTATTTCTAGATATACACACAAACAATCCATAAATTCAGTTAAAAGTCAAAATAAAATAATTCTTGATAATGATTAAAAGTAAAGCTGAAAGCGTTCGGACTTAGAAAACATTTGGGCAATTTCTACATAATTTACGTCCACAAAAGAAGAAAATTATGAGAACACAAGAAAAATTAAATAAAACACTTAACCGTGATAAATTGTCAGTCGATTTTAAATTAAACCTACTAAAGTAAGTTCGTTGACTTTCTTCTCTTATAAGACTGACGGAATATAATTTCCCTACTGTTCCTTCAAATTTGACTTGCGTTGTATTAAGCTAAGCCTAGCGCACACAAACATATATATTAACAGCGACAGTAAATGTCTGGAAAACCTGATGTCAAAATGGTTACAATTGAAAGAAAAGAAGAAAAAAAGAAGAAAAAACGAGAAAAGGTAAAAAGTACCAATAAGGAATTAGTATAAAGTGAAAAACAACGAGGAGACGGATGAATAACCACGACAATCTTACACGTACGCACATAAGCGCAAACGGGCGCACGCGCGGAAATGCGCACATGTACACGCACATACACTATGTAAAAAGGTAGCACCGATGAAAAGTGCATATAAAAAATCGAGAAGTATAAACAGACACTTGCTGATATTCCTGACGACTGGACGAAGTGATTCCCGAAGGGTATGTCTGAGAAACTGTAGAGTTGGGATGCTTAAGGTAACACCAATCAGCTAAGTGACAAATCTTTTCTATAAATTCCCGCTCTCTCTATCTATCTCTCTCTCCACCCCACCACTCTCTCTCTCTATATATATATGTATATATATATATATATATATATATATATATATATATATGCCCCATAATGAGTACTTTGCATTGTAAAAATGACGTAGAGTACCAAATATATTTATTACATAACTGATATACAAGAATTCAATATATTGTCTAAGATTTGAATATTATATCCCTGAGATGGTCAACATTACGAAGATAAAATGCACAAGGTCTCATTTCAGGCACAGACATTATGAGGGTCCACCGTCAGTAAAAGAGATATTAGATACCTGTAAGAAATAGCAAAATCTTTGATAATATGTTGAACTCTTGTAATAAATATATGTTAAATAATAGTTTAGCAGACTTTTATTTTTAAGAGACGTATATTTCTGCTCTGACTTCTTCAGTTTGATATTAGGGGTCAGATGCAAGACAAAATAAAAGAAGTTGATCTTGATTGTTTGAACTAGAGTGGGAACGATAGATAGAGAAAAAGTGTTTCGGATAGTTGTTTCTAATCCGTCATACAATGTAGACGTGTTTATTCCGTCTCTGGAAACTGCTCCCCAGTGGAGGGGGAGAGCAACCCCACTGGCTTAGTTAGAAATGTACACGTTGACGTGTTTAATAAAATAGTTATGTTAAAATTCTCTTTGTTGATGTCTTTCATCTTTGGACCCCAAAACATTTCGGCCTGAAGAAGAAGAAGAAGAAGAAGAAGAAGAAGAAGAAGAAGAAGAAGAAGAAGAAGAAGAAGAAGAAAGGAAGTGGGTGAGAAGAAAAACAGGTGTATGGTAAATGTATTAAAGAAGAAGAAGAAGAAGAGGGGGAAAACTGAGAGAAGAAAAGCAGGTGTATCGTAAATGAAGGAGAAGAAGAAGAAAAGGAAGGTGAAGAGAAGAAAAGCAAGCGTATTGTAAATGTGTCAGCGTGGAGGTTAAATTACTTTTTTTTATCCTGCCTCATATGCACTTAAAAAAATTCTGATATGTGGGCAAGGACTTAAATCATCGGATTTCTGGTTTAAAAGTTTTTTTGGGCCAGGAAATGTCATAATCGTCAATTTTTTTTGTTGACAGAGGTTGCAAATATTGTAGAGATTGTTGTTAAATTTTTTCCACCTTACTAACGGATTTCTGTTGTTTTTTTTTCTTTTGAATTCAACACACGGTCAGCTAGTTTGCTGGAGTACCTAAGATTTGCTAGCTTAAACGACGCCCTATTGTTTGTACCATCTACGTACCTTCCGTACACTCTATATACTTTTTATTTTAGCCATTAGTATCTGTTAGTACCTGCTTTATAAACTATACCTTCTGTTTTACAAGCTCCATTTAATGGGCAACTAAACTTATTTCTACAGTTTCATAAATTACTAGTGTTATTTTTCTGCACGTTAGTTTTGAGATTTCTGGTATTTTGTCTATTTATTATTGTATCTAAATTACTAGTGCAACTGTAGCTTAATTTAACTGTATTTTTATTGAATACTGGCAGCATGGCCCGGCATTGCCCGTGCTTGATTCAAAAATCGCACGACTCTTACAGCAATCACTATCACTTGACTTATTATTTTTGCCCTTCCTTGCCTTTAAAGAAGTACCCTTTGCCATGCTGATGTTGCTACATGCCTTACTTCTTGCCTATCTCACACTGCGAATTATTTCTAAGCTCTATACTAAACATTAAATCTGTTACGAAAAAAGAACTAAACAAAATGAACACAAAACGATCAGCTTTAAAAAAGGACTCGTAACTGGAAGAACCGAATGAAAAAAGAATGTTAACAACAAATACTTTTTTGCACCCAACCCAGTTCTGTGGAATCAAAATCAACGTTGAGTTTAAGCAAGCGAATGAGCCAATTGGAGTAAAGTGCCATGCAGATTTAAATTTTTCCCAATTGTGACGAATGCATCTATCGATTCTTTTTTGCATACTAGCATGCTAGTTAACATTCTTGTCAGTCAGCTGTTGGCTCTCACGCTGGCCAATAGAATCTTCCTGCCTATTCGTGGCAGCCAGCTATAGGCTCTCACTCTGGCCAGTAGAAAATGGCCGCAAATTACATGAAAACTGCCGCAGAAGCATGAAAAAAACGATTATTTTCACTATCGATGGGAGTTGGGAAATGCAAAGTCGGTGTTGGCCTTCCCCCTAACTTGGAGCATGTGCATGTAAATTTTGGTGCAAATCCGTCGAAAATTGCGGCCGTGCATTCTTGAAAAATTATTTACCTATTTTACATTTCATTAAAAGTGGGCGGGGATTTAAACCAAATAATAGTTTTTCTTTTCCTCGAATTTTTCTTCGGATGATGAGATATAAGCTTGAGTAAATAGTTAGAAGAAAAAGGTTTAGGAGAAATCACAAAAAGCGAAAATTTAATAAGTGCTACAAGGGCCGGCCAGGGTGTTGTGGAGAGCCGTGATTGTCTCCGTCCTGAGGGATCACAGCACATAAAGAAGAAGATGCGATTTTTTTTCTTCGTTTAAATGATAATTGTTTTCTGATTTGTAATTTTGTTTTTTTTAATGTTTTTATTTGTTTGAAGTGTTTATCTTCGATTTTTCTATTTTTCTTCTTCTTTTTGTCTATTTTTCATTTATTTTTTCTTCCATTTTTTATATTTCTTCTTTCATTAATGTTTTTAGCTTTTGACAATTTCTCTTTCATTTTCTTCTTTTTTTGTTGGCATGCTCATAATTTTTTAGATTTTATTTTCTTCTTCTATTTCTTCTTTCTGTGCCTGTCATTTTCGACTGAAAAATATTTCTCTTTTTCTTTCCCTTTTTATTCTTCTCCTAACATTCTTTCTCCTTACTTCTTCTCCCCTCACCTTCCTCTTCTTTTATGTTCTCGTTATTTTTCTCTCTCTCTTTCTTTCTCTTTCTTTCTTTCTTTCTTTCTTTTTCTTTCTTTCTTTCTTTCTTTCTTTCTTTCTTTCTTTCTTTCTTTCTTTCTTTCTTTCTTTCTTTCTTTCTTTCTTTCTTTCTTTTTTCCTTTTCATTATACTTTTCTCTTTTTCCAGTTCTTCGTTCTTTTTATTTTTCTCTTCTTTTTTTGTTCGTTTCTCTTTTGCCAGTTTTTTTTCTTTGTTATTTTCCTTTTTTCTTTTCCCTCTTACTCTTTTCTTTTCTCTTTTGCTAGTTCTTCTTCTTCTTCTTTGTTTATTTTTATTTTTCTCTTCCTTCGTCCGTCTATTTGTTCCTTTTCAAGTTCTTCTTCGTTCTCTTATTTTTCTCTTCCTTCTATTTTCTTTTCTCGTTTCCAAATTCTTCTTCTTCTTCTTCTTTTCTTCTTTTCTTTTTTCCTTCTCCTTCTTCTTCTCCTCCTCCTCCTCCTCTTCTTCATCGTTCAATTTTTCCTATTTCTCATACCATCTTTTCTCCACCCACTTGTTCCAGCATTTGGCCCCTTTCATCTCCATTCCCACCGGTCACCGTCTCTTTCTCTTTGTCACCATTCCATTTACCGCACCCCCCACCCCAGGCAACAACCACGTCCCAATTTCTAATCCATGTTCATGTTTACATTAATCCCATCAACATTTCACATCTAAATCCGCGCGTATTACTCAATCTACCCCCATTTGAGACTGGATGAATGACGAACCCTCATCGCTACTCAATTATCTTCTGCTATTTGCCCACCCTGCATTCGGTCTCCCTGCAAACATGTCGCTCGTAAAAGAATGATTTCGTTGATTCTCGCTTTTTGACCCTCAGCCATTCTCCATGATATCCTCTTTCTCGAAGTCAGCTTTTCCCGTCTTCCCGAAAAGTAACCACTTCGTCGGCCAAGAATTTCGCTTTGATAGTCATAATTAACCTTTATGCACACCGGACTCTGCTCACCCATTTTCGCCTCTGAACCTGAACCTGTTTCTCTGACTTCAATAACACAGGGAAGCACATTATTAACCTTTAAACATTAGAGATTGGTCCAAGTGGTACCAGAATGGGCTGAATTATCAAGAGTTCTCTTTTCCAAGTACCATGTTGTCCGGGCCATTTGTAGCATCATAGAAAAAAAAAAGAAAAGAAAAAAATCATACTATCATTTGGACTGACAGGTACAAATATTCACTCAATTCAGCTTTAGCCTTGTGTGGAAAAAGGCAGAAGAATTGGAGCACTGATTGAAAACTGGGAAACTTACTAGGTAGCCCCCATATATATATATATATATATATATATATATATATATATATATATATATTAAAGACATTTTATGTTTAACGTTCTTTTTATAGATACAAGTATTTAAGTAAATGCTCTGTTTATAATAAACAGTACAATAAATACTTGTATCTATAAAAAGAACGTTAAACATAAAAATGTCTTTAATAAATAAATTGTCGGACTTTCTCCATTTCTTAATATATATATATATATATATATATATATATATATATATATATTTATTATATAAAAAAAATTATAACTTAAATATGTTATAAAATCACTACAAAAATAGCCATCTTGTTTCAACACCTTTGGTGTCCTATCAAGTGATGATGTTGAATGTAGATTGTAGAATGAAGGTTTTAAAAGGTTCAAATTAATGAACTACCCCTCGTAAGGGGAAACGCTGTCACATGAGCTGAAATGACCAATCAAAAAACAAGTGTACGAGAATTCCAAAAACTTGACAACCAAGTAAGGTTATAATAACTATTAAATGATTTAAAGTTGGGTTTATACTAAAATAGAATTTATTCTAACTAATAAGTATTAAATTGTAGAATAAAATTTGAAATTAAAATTAAAATCTACCCATTTCAAAAATGTAAATTTAATCTATATTAAGTTTAAAATTTTTAAATTATTGAGGAAAAAATATCATTGTATATATATATATATATATATATATATATATATATACGCTCCATTTCTTACATTCGTTGTTCCTTATATATATATATATATATATATATATATATATATATATATATATATTATAACCCAAATGTTTTTGTGTGTGTTTTACTAATGCTCAAATGTTTCATGTAGTATATACTATGGGCTCAAGCCTCTCATTCTTTATATATATATATATATATATATATATATATATATATATATATATATATATATATATATTATAGAGTGCGGTTCATATTTTATATAATAAAGAAACAATTTATACAAAGATTTAAATAGTAACGTTAATGAGATTAATGGCGAAATCACTTCGCTAACAAAATGAGACATTAACCTACTATCAATTCCTTGAATAATAAGATCCTTATATTCGTGTTGTTTTCAGATGGAAGACACACCAAGTACTTTCGACAATTTCAACTTGTCATCTTCGGGGCGCAATTTTCCCATACATAGTGAAACACTTAAACGATATATGTGTAGACTGAGAGATATTTTTTAAAAATTATGCTATTTATTAACCCTTGAATATCTGTTTCGGTCTACACATATCTATCTATATATATATATATTCAATCAATTCACCCCAAATAAGGCGATAATGCCACTAATACGCAAACAATACTGGGAGTGAAAGAGAGGCTGAGAATATTTTAGAAGAAACCAGAAGCCCAATCCTAAACAGGAAAACAAGTAATAAATCTCTACTCCTCTAAAAAACAAAACAAAAAAAAAAAAAAACTAAAAGTGGAAATGTGTGAACCAGATTACAGGCAAACCTATCTCCTCCTATTAAATATATTTTATTTTGAAAGAAAATGATAAAATTGATGAAATCAAATTAACTCCAGATATCCCAAGCTTTGGCTTTACTTAACCTTTCTTTCTTATTTGTTTCCCCCTGTTTTCTTGTTTTGTTTTCGGCAACAAACCAAAGAGTAAGGACCTTTTTTTCTCCTTAACGAAGAACAGACAAGTCTATCCTGTCTCCATATGTCACCGTGAGCACGAATATAGTCGTTCTCACGTGAGAGATAACCTATGGCTATCGATAACTTGTATTATCGAATGCGCGATGGAAGAGGAGACTCAGTTCGGGCAGAGATGGTGGCAGATTGAAAAAAAAAAAAGAAAGAAAAAAAATCTAATATCAGAATTATGAAGTCTAGACAGAGCTTGTCAAAACCCGTTGGTCGTGGTATTTTTGCGGTGAATGTTGGCCTCGGGAAATTTTCGCTAAGAAGAAGAGGGTCAGGGAGGGATGGGTAAAAACGAGGCAAAGTTGAGTTTTTATTTTCAGAATGGTATCGTGTTTTTTTTTTATTTTTTTATTTTTTTGTTGGTGAGATACGCACATCGAAGATTGAGAGCTGATTTTATTATTAGCCAAGGACGTCCATACTTGACACTATGAGTACACACACCTACACATTACATGCAGACGTAAATACTATTACGATGATGCAAATATTTCCAGCATTTTTCGACAAAAAAAAACTTTATTTATATGAATTCATAGCATCATTATTCAGTCATTAAATTACTCTCCTTGCTATCCCAGATTTCGATATTAGACCAAAGAAAAAAAAATCATACAATTTGACAAAATTTTTAATTCATATAAATTATTTACTCTATTTACATTGTTGTCCTTATTTTTGTTGCCATATTCACGACGTTTCGACCGTTGTGCATCCCGGCCTTCTTCAGTTTATTGAAATTTCGAACCGAACCTTTTATTTCGTCCACCAGGGTAGATTGTTCTAGTTCCACGTGCCATGCCTCTTCTGGATGTCACAGTATCAGCTATACATCACTCTCCAATTTTTTTTTGTTCACCTCTGCTATAACCAGGTATTGAACTCACAGCTCTTTGGGTCAAGTCATTGAATTCAATCAATGCTTTTATCCACATTATTATTATTTACATTATTTCAGTCTGAACAATCGTGTAAATAATTACATTAACTCATCTCAGAAATATAGAGAGATCCTGATGAAGAGTAGAGCGCACAACAGTCGAAACGTCGGGAATATGATAACAAAGATGAGGACAACAGTCTGGACAATGTAAATAGTGTAAATAATTACAGTAGCTCATCTCAGAAATATAGAGAGGTATCGTATAAATTGATATAATCAATATTCAGTCACCAAAATAGTTGCTCTTACTTTCTATGACCCTATAGTGATTTTCCAAGCGTAGCTCAGATGTGGAACAAGGACGAAAGTAGGGGCACCCGGTGAGAATCGGACTCACTACTCTGTGGTAATTGTTCTAGCAAGACAAGCTTGCTAACCATTACACCGCCTCGAGGTGCCCAACTTTCTATGACCATATATAATACATCCTGGTTAATTTTTCTATTCCATTATGTGAGGTTAATGCAAAAGTTTCCAGAATTTTTCAATAAAACTTTTATTCATATAAATTCATAACATCATAGGAATATATATGTTTGCCTCTCGTTCGGTTCACACTTCTCTCTTGTCTTTTGAACAGAATAGTGGTTTATCCCTTGTTACCTGTTCAGGATTGGGTTTCTGGCTCCTTCTAAATTCAACTCTATTCTTCTAACGTCTCCACTTAAACCCTAAAATTTTATTTACGCCTATTGCCCGGTTCACACTTCTTCCACGTCTGTTGAACAGTAGTAGAGGTTTAGCCGTTCTTTCCTATTTAGGAATGGGTTTTCGGTTCTTTCTAAAAATCTTTTTTTATTCTCATTCACTCCAAGTAGCTCCTTGCATCTTAGTGGCATTATCGCCTTGCTTAGGATGAATTGATAAAAAATGACATTATTTTCACTCTCAGTATCTTCGCTCCCGTTTACAATTGAGTTCCCGGTCATTTCAAAGGTTTTCTCACTCTCTTTCACTCCCAGTAGCTCCTTGCATCTTAGTGGCATTATCGCCTTGCTTAGGATGAATTGATTAAAAAAAAAAAATTATTTTCCCTTCCAGTATTTTCGCTCCCGTTTAGAATTAAGTTCCCGGTCCTTTCAAAAGTTTTCTCACTCTCTTTCACTCCCAGTAGCACTTTGGTTGGGGTGAATTGATTAAAAAAAGACCGTACATCGTTTTTCAATAAGATTGTGTATTCCAGTAAAAAAGCACGATTTCAGTTCTGATATATATATATATATATATATATATATATATATATATATTTATTACTGTTTTCAACTAGTTGGAACCACCAACCAGACAACACAAAAAGCGAAATCATGAATAATCTAAAATCAACTTTTCATTTGCTGGGTCGTATTGAAAGGTGCGTCTGAAAGCGAAAAAAAAAAAAAAAAAAAGAACGGTAAGATGTGGCGCATGCCGCGTAGCATTAAGTTGAGTCATCTTTCATTTACAGCCAACTGTATGTCCTTAAACAACTGGTAAAGCAAACCCATGCGCGAGCACACACAGAGGCAAACACACATACACACATCTACAGAGTGCGATGGATAAATTACCGTCTAAATGACGCAAAAATGAAAATAACACTGACATTTCATTTTAACAGATACATTTACCAAAATTACACAAAAATATTTCGAGAAACGAAAGAATAAATTTATTCAATGAAGTCGGCATGGGCTTCAGCTACGGCCTACAGACGACTTCAGAATCTCCT